CCCCTCCTGCCCCAGGAGCGCAGGCAGTGGCAGCGTCCTTAGACTTGAGTGGATGTGTAGAGGCTCTGCACGTGTGTTCACCTTATACATGTACATGCGTTGTACATTATATGTGTCTATACACTATGTGTGTATATGCACGATAGGTTATACCTGTATCTGCATCATGCCTGTTGCATATTTGCATTATATGCCATCTGCATATATGTACATGTATAATGCGTGTATAGGTATCCAGGTTGTAGCTGTATTTTTTTGCAAAAATCCTGTTGGTTTGATAAAAGACATCACCTCTGTCTGCGAGCCTTGATTGCCTAATGTGTGTGTATGCATACACGTTTCCTGTGTATGCATTATGCATTATATGTTTATTATTATGCATATGTTTATTATATTTAAGTGTATATGTTTTATACATTACATATGTATTTTACGTTATCTGTGCATATACATTATACAACATGTATATACGTTGTGTGTGATATGCGTCTATGTGTCTATGCACGATACAAATATATCCAGGTTGTAGCCGTACTGGTCAAATAGCAAAAGCAATCAGGACTCATGGTAGAGGTGATATCTTTTATTAAACCAACTAGATTTTTTGCCAAAAAAATTTCAATTAAAGAAATTATTTTGCAAAAATCTGCTTGGTTTAATAAACAATATGGCCTCTACCAGGAGTCCTGATTGCTATATACAATACAGGCAACCCCCACGTAACACTGTTTCACTTAGCGGTATTTTGCTATAATGCTCATTTTAAATTGATACCTGATTTCACTTAGCACTCAGCGGGTTTTGTTATAATGCTTATGGTCGCCATCTTGGGTCATTAAAAACAATTCCAGTCACCATCTTGGGTCATCAAATACTTTCGGTTTCACTTAACACTCGTTTTGCTTAACGCTCGGGTTTTCAGGATCTGATTAAGAGCGCTAAGCAGGAGTTGCTTGTATATGTATATACATACATTCATATGCTTTATACATGATCTGTGTATATACATTATACATGTATACAGG